GTGACTATGCTGACTTTGTTAAATTCCCCACATAGATGCATAACAAAAATTATTCATGGACATCAATTGTTCAGGTACACCAATAATAAAAATTGGAAAAAAAAAACATAAATAAAAAAACATTCTTTACACATATTACTCAAATTTACAGCAATGAAACTTAAACAAGGACATGTTATGTAGAAAGTATATAATTTTGTACACTATGTCATGAATTTGTTGTTTTATAAAGTTTTACAAAAAAGGAAAATTCACATATATGTAAATAAAAACGAAACATGGCCATTTGAACGCTGCAGTTGAAAATTTTTGAAAAAAGGGCCACCTTTTCCACAAAGTGGGTTCTGCTGTAAACTGATCTGAGCAGAAGGGGGCGCTAGTCATTCCAGAGCGAAGGGCAGTCTGGAATGGCTTTGAGGCACGCCCTTTGACAATGATGTAACCACACGGGATGAAGTTACAACGTGGTCGAACACAGTTCACTTCGTGGTAGCACCTTTGGGTGTGTTTGTGAGCACCAGTGTTTGGGTTTGTGTGTGTGGTTTAAAAGAAAAATCTTCCCGCAAAGTTTGGCTCAAATTCGGAAGGGGTTACCGGTAAAGAAAAGTACAGATATAACAGATCATCTGAGGGAAAACTTGATGGGTATGCATACTGTCGAAAGCGGCTGGGGTTCCAGGTAAACCATGCACATTACATGCTATGATGGGCAGGAAACATGCTTTTCGGTGTCATGCTGTGAGAACGCATGACGCCAGCTGACAAAGTCACAACTGCAGTTTGGAGCCGCGTGGAACCGCGTGCCACCGGGTTAAATTCACACATTCGGCAGAATTAAACAACATGACTGGAGACAAACAGCACATTTGTCGAATACTCACATCACCTGATGCTTCACATTTGTCTTTGTCGGTTATGTTTAGTTTACAGGGTGAACAGCGTCAGGGTAAAGATCTAGATGTTGGCACTAAATACATTTTCTCTTGCTGGACATAAGCCATGTGTGTAAAGCTATAAAGCATAATGAAACACATCAATCATATTAATTTCAACCAAGCTAATAAACATATCACACAATGACCTAAAAACTGATTCATGTATAACAACATTTGAAAAATAAGAGACAAAAATCAAGTCTAACTTTAACTAACTAACTAACTAACATTATGGGGTATTGTTAAATGAAATTTAATGCAGAAGAGATAATTTAGTTTTACCCACAGATGTCCAGTATTGCCTTACTTTTTACACAAAAAAATTCTGTCATCAGGAAAACAGTGTCTAGAACTGCAGACACAATGAGCTCAACTTGGAGTCAAAGCAGGACCTCAGAAAAGGACTAATTTCATAGCTTTGATAACACACATCCAGGATATGACAATATTTTCCAAATCGACGTTACACGTTTATGTACAATTATCAGTTACTGCACTGTCACGTGAAACAGAAAAAACGACACAAAATAATTTAAAAAAAAAAAAAAACACAAAACAGAAACACTGGCATTGTTGTTTGCTGAATTGGCTGTCTTAGAAAGGAAGGAAAGCACCTACTGTATAGGAAAGGCACCACAGGCCCAGAGAAGCGGACAGCTGTTGCCATGGTTTCAGTGCGTACGGTTGGGTGAGTGTGTGTGTAGTGTAGTGTGGAGTACGGAAGCTTGATGCTTGAAGGAAAAGTTACTGTAAGCCTGCAACAGTTTAGCATCTTTCTTTTTGGGTGAGGCAAGCTCTTCGTGGCGCGGAGAGCAAAGCAGCTCGATCGCCGACAGCCATGATGTTAAGGGTGGGTCTCTGACTCGTTTCCATCCATCATATCATCATCTGCCGCGGGAAATGCGGCTGTCAGGCTGATTCAGACACTCGACTGAGGATCATCGCACATCGATACGGAGTTTAAATGGTTTCAAGGGCCAAAGAGAAACTAAATGCAGAGGGGTTTCAATTCAGATTACCGGAGAGCGTTTGTTTCAATTCGATTTGTGTTGGGTTTGGGTGCTATACCGCCAAACTGAAAATGCAGAGTACAGTAAGGATTGAGATATTATTTATGTCATTTTGTTTTACACAAGAATCAGCTTAAAATTCTGTGGCTTTGATGCAGTACGAGGTGAAACTGGAGCTGTAGGTATGAAGCTTCCTTGCAGCTCCACATTCGGACTGCCCTGCCTGGAAATAGCTGAATCTCTCATAATAACATAAATGCTGTCAGAAGAGCAAAGGTTTGGAAATACTGAAATCAGCGCACTAGTTGGAACCCACTTGAATTTGGGAAAGTCGGTCTTGACGTCAACGTTAAACGAAGTATGCACCCGAAAGTCTGAGTACCACCTACCACCGATGCTAAAACTATTCACGTCCTGTTAAGTGAGTGTACCAAAAAATAAAAGCGGACTCAGCATTATTTCACGTGGAGCTGATGTCGGTTTCCGCAGGTCAGATGTAGAAAGAGATCACAGTGTACTCGCTCACAGAAAAAAAGCTCTCTCTCCCTCTCTTAAAAAGTAGACTAACACAAAAAGTGAGGATCACCACAGAGGCGTCCAGCAGCCACGAAACCCGACCAGATGGGGGTTTCCTGCCGCTGCTGGTTTTTTTCTCCCAAAAAACTAATGAAGATGAGGGACAATAAGCTAACGCTTGCGGTTAGTAACATACCAGCAAACAACAGTGAACCAGAATGCTGTTAGTAAGTGCGGAAATGGAAATCCCGCGGGGAGGTCGTGCGGGGGGCACGGGGGGGGGAGAACGCAGCTCCGCTGGAGCAAACGGCGAGGGTCGGCTGGTGATGCGTGCAGGCTGGAAACACCGAGTGGGCTCACGGTCGAGGACACGACTGCTCCTCTTCACCCGAGGATCTGCTTTCCTAACAGGCAGAGAACGCCCACCCAGTAGCACACCTCACATGCTCCCGGGGGAGGGGATTTTCATTTCTAGTGTCGCTCCCCCCCCCCATCACCCTTCCCCAAAACCCACCCCCACCCCCACCCCCATCCCCGGCTTAAATCCTGAAAAGAGAATCTGTGCACCAGAATACACCTGAGCCCCACACGGACGAGGAGGAAGAGCAAGCAGCAACCAGGCCTGGAGCTGAATCCTGCCTGCCAGCGGACAGAACAGCCTACGTGGATGGGTCACGGTCCATGTGCTCCCAGGACTGGGAGGAAGATCGGCGTAGCACCTTCTCCCCAAGCGACCTACATGAGCCAGTCAGCTGGCAGATACCGGCAGTGCGGGGGCCCATGCATCCCAGAAATTGAAGGAAATGGGCAATCTCCTGGGGCAACGGCTTGCCGGTCTGGTATCTCAGCGGGGATCTGGAGAACCGCCGAAGCCTCCTTGATGTGCCACACAGACAGCTGTCGTTAACGTCGGTGTCACTGAACATACTCCACCCTCTTAGTGACCGGGTGAATGCCAAAAGGTCCAAGAGTAGAAAGGTAGGACAGTGGCAACGAGGAAAGCAGAACTAAGGAGCTTTTTGCCAAACCAGCACTGCCACCACAATAGCTTGTAGCTGGGTTCACATGGATTCCTCCACATAGCCTGCTGTTGGATTCTTTTCCAAGCCTGGCAAGAACCCTTCTCCTCATTAGTCTATACCTGGCAAATATCCTACTTCCCATTGGTCTAACCCTGCACAACATCTGCTTGCAAAGATCTGAGCAGGCACAAGAGGGTCAGAAAAGCATTGTCCTCCTCTTTGTGGTGCACCTGGACAGCTGTTAGTGTCACTGCATAACAAAACAACAGGCAAACGCAAAACGACCAAACCTGTAGAGTATGTGGTCTACCACACAAACAAGACCAACAACCAACAATGAGCCCAATTTTCTGGTTAAGGTGCATATTAAGGAAAAGGCAAAATTCTTTTTTTTGAGAAAATGCATTTTGGGCGACCTTTAATATGTGGCCAATTGGGCGGGAACCCGGAGTTTTGTTAGAACATATTTTTGTGTGCTGTTTATGTCAAAAAGCTAATCCACCTCCAGTAGTTTTGAACACAGGAGTCCAGGGGCACCAGAAACTGGGACAAAAGTACAGTAAAAGGTGTGATTTGGCTTCATTAATTACCGCATGGCAAGTGCCAGCAGCAGCAAGCCCTGTATGCCGAGAGACTAACCTCTGTTGTAGCAGATTTTGTCTATAAAATAATCCGTTTAAACACTGCAACGTGTTGTTAAACTGTGTAAAAATTCAGGTATATTCAGGCAAAGATAGCTTCTAGTTTCATTATCTTTAAAATGTAGACTCTTAAAAATATCCTTAAATAAAATAAACGTAAAAATAAACCAAAAGCAAAACAACAGTTAAACAGTCACTGTAAAAATAAATTACATTTTAAAACAAATGACAAATATGTGCATGTCAAAATTCATTCTGGCACCTATGACATGCATTTTGCACCCCATACATTTATTACTTGAATTTCATTGAGCTTTTTTAAAGTTTTTCTTTTTTTTTTTTTTAAAGAACCATTACCAGAGGAAGGCGGAGGATAGGAAGAGGTGCTGAAGGGTGGAAAATGAGGAAGTACAAATACATCAAAAATGGTTTTTTTTGGGAGGGGAATGATGGAGTATACTGAACAAGTGACCTTCAAACAACATTCACTCATTCATTCTTCTTTTAAACCACTCGTCCTATAGTGTCACAAGGCAGAGAATAGCCCGGGACGAGCTGTTTCAAATAATGTATTTTTCATTAATTATTTTGTGCATCTATCTTCCTATTTTAAAATATTTCTGTGGAAGTTATAGATCTGTTTATTCCAGAAAAAAATGCCAAAATTGTGCCTTTAGTTTAGATATTGTGCTCTCTTTAAACCTCTTTTTAAACTTTTTTAAACTTAAATATAACAAAAACATATGCATATATACACAGCCATATGTCAGATTCTACAGTCCTTCAAACTTTATTTATTTTTAAATATAATTTGATATTTTATTTGTAGGCCTGGTACGTATCCTCCTGATCCCTATGGGGATTTCGTCAGTAATATTAGCAGCGGTAATATCGCCACCCCTGTTAACTTAACAGCCAGTTAGATGCTAGACAGTGTCATTTAAAATGATGCATTTACCCTAAGATTTTACTGGGCTTTTTCTCCATTCCATGGAAAGAGCATTAACTGTATAGATTTTGTCAATTTTATCACTTTTGAATTATAGCAATGTGCCCTAAAAATGACATTTGGTATTAAGGGGTACTTCTTGGACAAATACAGGCATTCTGAACAAAACCCTGACGAATCACAGTCAGGAAGATCAGGTTTATCAGGGAATGGAAATGGAAGGGATCAAAATAGTACTAACTGGGAAAGGGAAGAGTAATTAGACTCATCAGTGTTGGGGAATGACAAACACTGAACTGCAATCGGAAATGTCCCACCTCTCTGTGCTTCCCGAAAAGCTGTCAGTCTGAACTCTTTGGGTTTTCCTCAACCCTCAAGTTACACGTTGTGCTTTGGGCTGCTGCGCATTTACACGCGTAAACCTTTGAGAAATAACTTCACCGGTGGAGATGTTTTGTGCATATACTTTCGCTGCTATGAAACTAAAATAATGCATCGCACTTTGCAGTATCATGTTAATTTTATCCCTGAAAAAAAGAGCTTTATGTAACAATACTAAGAAAACAGAAGGAATTGCGCTATAATTAGCTGTGCGCTATGTAAATCCCTTATCCCGATTTCTTCACTTCCAGGAGACACATATCAACTCACGCAACGCAGCACTGAGATGTTGTTAGCACCAGCTGAGTGATCTTCAGCAAATCTGCACCTGGGAGCGGCGGCGTTTGCGTGAAACCGAGACGGGAAACCGGGGTCACCTGATCGCACTGCTAAAAAGCACAAAACGAGCGGGATCAAGTGTATATCTTTAAATTAAGGCTTCAGAGGATAATGCCACCTCTCTCTCTCTGCTTTTCTCTCTCTCTGTCTTCCTCTCCTGCCCTCTTTAGAAAAAGACAGCAGGGATTCGCTGGAAGCCTATCTGCTGTTAACAGAAAATTTTTGCCCATAAAAAAACTCTTTGATCCTATCTTTGATTACATTTGCCGTTTCTTCCTTACGTAAAAAAAAAGAAAAGAAAAGCAGAAACAGAGCGCGAGGTGTGAATGAAAGGGGGCGTTGAGAAGGACACCTGTTTTTTCCTCCATCATTCCCTTTATCAGGAGCTCTGGTAGCATGAACGAACGATTCAGAGTTTTCAGTTTGGCTGCAGGCTCCAGCCCCAAGGGAGTCTGACCGTTACACACACTGAACACAATATTAAACAATTAAAAAAGGGATTTTTTCCCTCCTAGACATAAAAAACTTACAGGAACAAGGTAAAATCAGATCTACTACAATTTGCAGATTTTTGACACAATGTTTATCAGAATTCTTTTTTTTGTGTGTGTAAATACATTTCTTAATTTGATAATCCCGTAATACTGGTCAGGTGTGCAGCGGCCTGATTTAAAACACCTGAAAAGTAGCTCCTGTTTCATCTTTTGGGATGTAATGCAAATGAAGGAATGAAAAGCTGACGCATGGTGAATAGACATGGGGAGGTAAAGAGAAGGAGAGAGAGGAGGAGGAGTGTAGGCGGGGCCGGGGGCGGGGCCGGGTCACAGAGAGGACTCGTACTGGAGGAGCTCGTAGAGAAGGGGCCCATCCCTGTAGCGGATGCCCACGGCTGTGGGCGTGATGTACTGCAGGATGTTGATAGTTCTCCTCAGACGCCGGTCCACGAAGTGGGCGTCCCACGCGGGGTAACGCTTCCTTGGCATGTCGATCTTGATGAGGGGCCCTTCGGGATGGGAAGGACGGCCTGAGGGTGTCGTGGGTGCGGTGGACCTCACCTGGAACACGGGCAGGCACGTATCAGCAGATAGCTCCTCCTGCTCAGTGTAATCCCCCGTGGTTGGGGTCGCCTGGGATCCACGGGGGCCCGGGGTGGGGGCCATGGGCTCAGCTTCTGGGGGCAAGGGAAGACCCCACAGGAGCTCGGCACAGCAGGAGCTAGCTAGCAACCGGACCCTGGGACCCATGGGATGCAGGACCCCGTAGTAGAAGAACATGAAGAGCACACCTGAGACGAAGCTCAGGAAGACCCCGCACAGGGCCGATACGGCGTAGGAATCGGTGGTGGAGGGGTCCCTGTAGATGTACCACAGTAAGGTCAAGACGGTGTTTTCAGCCAGCACCACAAAGTAGTAGGCCACCATGCGATATCGGGTCCTGCCCTCCTTGACGTTGAACCAGCAAAAGATGTAGACGATTCCCACCACCATGTTGAAGAGCACCTCCTCCCACTTAGACATGCAGAAGTCGGTGCCCCCATGGATGACCCAGAAGGCCATGGCGCACCAGTGCACGACGACGAAGATGCCGAAGTAGATGTGGAAGATGGAGGCGAAGAGAGCGAAGGAGAGCACCCGCGAGGAGATGGTGAAGAGTCGCCAGAAGATGTGCACCAGGGCCCCCCGGTAGCTCATGCTTTTCGTGTCGTCCCGCGAGTCCCGCAGGAGCTTGTGGTAGGAGGCCAGCACCCAGGCCAAGGAGAGCAGCGAGGCCACTGAGGAGACACCTGTAGCAGCCGAAAGTGCCAGAGAAAGGAGGAAAAGGAGGAGAGAGCACCAAAGTGCTTATTGCTGTCACACCTGCACGTTCTGTGGTAATGCCTACTAGTAAACTAAACATACAGAGTACAAATTCAATAAAATAGACAAATAACGACATTTTGCTGAAGAGCTACAGTATTAGATAACAAACACTGAGCAGTTGTTCTGAGGTTTCAGATTATGCTGAACTGCTACTTAATTCAGAACTGCTACTAAGTTCGATTACAAATATTTCCACCGAAGACTCCTTTTCTTAAACTACCAAATATGTTTATTTCATGGGCTCTTTGGATAGCCTGCCTGAAAACAAGGAGGACACAACAGAGGCAGAAACCTTGAGTATTGTTTACTCTTCTGACACCTGGAGTATTCAGTATTCAGTACTTACAGCATGCAGTATGTTTCACTTCTTGGTTCGAAGGAAGTAAGAAAATGACCGCTTTGATGCAGTTGTATAAGCTTTGAACGATTCACGTATGCAGCATAATTTAAGGACAAATTAACCAAAAAGCCATTAATGTGATATATCTTAATCTGCCTCTCTTCACCCATTCTCTTCAAGACAGTTTAATTCTCGTTTCCTAAGTGAGCTCATTGTGATGTAATACCCTGCGCCTCGTTTACACTCCTGACGACACCATTGGATAAACGTTAAAAGTTAATTTAGGATACTATAAAATAAAGGCAGGGCTACAATGAAGCTCCTGATGAATGTCTGGGGTTCAGTCTCGTGTTCGTATTGAGTAGCTGATTTCCCTGTATCTCCACTCAGAGCTGCCTCTTCCAGGCTGTAAGTGTGCTCAGGCTAGCTGCCTCTTCCAGGCTGTAAGTGTGCTCAGGCTAGCTGCCTCTTGCAGGCTGTAAGTGTGCTCAGGCTAGCTGCCTCTTGCAGGCTGTAAGTGTGCTCAGGCTACTCCCTACTGTGTACACGTCGTACAGGTGTCAGCAGATCCCTGCTAGAGCAGAATACTCAACCTGGACTGCTCAAGTGAAAAATTCAGCTGCGTTTATTGTAAAATACAGTAAGATGCTTTTCATCTGAGCATCTGTATGACTGTGATCGGTGCTATACAGCTCTGGAAAAATTAAGAGACCATAGCAAAACTTTCAGATCCACTCATTTTTTTATTTATGGTTATACATCTGTGTAAAATATACATTTTGCAAACTGCAGTCTGATTCTTCTCTGTTTCTCATTAATGAAGGGCTTCTTCCTTGTTTCATTGGACTTCAATCCTGCTTCTTGGAGCCTGATATGAACTGTCCTAGCAGTGCACTTCACACCTGCACTTAATGTTTCCCATTCCTTCTGAAGGTCACTCCGTATGTGATTGGCACATACGGCACATGAATCCTCCGATTCATGAGGCACTGTCGGAAAAGTTGTCAGTAATCTCTGGCATTAGAATGTCGCTTCTGCCCTCTACCTGGCTGGTTTCTGGTCGTTCCCGGTGTCTCCTGCTTCACCTTATTCTTGTGTACTGCTGTCTTAGAAGCTTTGTGCTTGGAAGCAACCTGCCTTGCAGTGTAGCCTCTTCTGCCGGCAGAGCCACGATTAAACCAAGATTAAAAACAACGCTGATTTGTTTAAAAACATAGAGTGGTCCCTTTATTTTTCCCAGAGCTATACAGTATATGCAGTATGTATGAAATTTTTCAATGTATGCTTTAATGTAAAGAACATGGCTGCTTATATATTTTTTCTTTGGTATTAATGTATTTAATTCCAGAAGCAGATACTGGCACAAGCTTATTCTCAGTCATAATGGTACCACTGGTTTCTTTCTCTGTATACTTTTTGTTTGTGCACCTGGATCTTGTTTTTCAGATACAGCAGCTGGTGTGATGATACAATGTCCAGCACTAAGATGCAGAAGCTGTCCTTTTGTTACTCTTTCCTTTCGCTCTACTTTTTCTTAAGTTGTCATGTATTATTTTTCTTTCCCTGTTTCTAACCCTAACCCCCCCTTTTCTTTTTTTTCTCTTCTCTCTTTTCTTTCTCTCTTTTCCCCCTCTCTTCTTTCTCTCCCTCCTCTCTTCCTCTCTTTATCTCTCCTATTTCGGTTAACTTTCCCTGTCGGCTCCAGCTTAATAGCGCAATAATGTAAAATGGTGAATAAAGAGTATACCTCAAGTAACAAGAGGAGCTTAATCCGTAGCTCCAGTTGGCACAATAAAAGTGTTGGCACAGTAAAGCACCCAGACTAACATCCTGCTTCCTAAACTGCCGGACACGACAGGGGTTAAAAAAGAACATGGCTGCAGCTTACAAAATACTGGTAAAATTCATGAAGTGACATCACAAATCTAAATATCATACTTGACCATGGACCTCCTATGACCCCCAACCCAAACTGCATTTTTATTGGCCAAGTGGCTGAGGTAATGGATGCTGGTTATCTGGGGCCATTATTAATGCTAATAGCTTTCCTTCTAATACAGAGACGCTTTCTCATAAAACTTTCCTAATTTTTCTCTTTTGTTTTATTATCTGTTCCTGTGAATCAAGCAATATCGGCACGTAAAGAAGGAAGCGCTGGTATTTACCATGTGCTCAACACATTATGTCTGAGGGCAACGTGAGACATCCTCCCGCAACGGGCCTTACATTGCAGCGTCTCTGCCCGGTTCTTCTGGATCATGATGCAGAGCTGTAGCACCAGTTGGGGGGCGCTCTCCAGGAAGGTCTCCAGAAGACGCAGCATGCTCACGTCCGCGTACTCGTACATCATGGCCCAGTAGAAGCGGCGCTGGTGTTCCTTCTGCCGCCGGCTCTGGATGCCCAAGTACATGGTCCGGATGTATCTGCAAGATCAGGGGGGGGGGAAGGTGAGGAAGAGGATGAGGTGGTGGTGGAGGAGTGGGTCAGTGTCATGGGTCACCCTCAGTGCTGTGTCGCTGTCATTACCACACGCTGATTTTGAACTGTGCCGCAGTAAATTTTGCATTTCCTATATAAAAAAAAAACAATCCATCCATCCTTTTTCAACTGTTAATCAGCATGGGGGGGGGGGCTACCAGGAGCTAAACCGAGGCAGTTTAGGGCTGGGGGGCAGGGTGCCAGGAAATGGTTTAACAAATTAGGATTACATTAATAAAAAAAGATTAAGTGCTCTGTTACTCCGGTGTGAACCTGCTCATTGAGATACCAGGTGCCACGTGAGCCGATGCCAAAGACCGTTGTTCATCCAGGTTCGGTTAGCCGGAGGTCCTTCTCCTGTGCTTCACCTCCTGACCATCTGCCATGACCCAGTACACGGCGCCCATATCACCTTATTTACTCATCCGGGTCAGAGTTCTGAAACCCTGACGTGACACTCTGTTCTGGACGTGCTGACGAGCAGCTACTCGCTGTGTCTCCACTCTGGCGGAGCAAGTGAAACTCCCCGTCCATGTGACACCAGGCCACGGCAAGGTGCACCTACAGGGCCAGCAGCTACAAAACCCCAAGATCATCTCTCTGCGCTCAGATCAAAAGGTTCCCCCCTACCCATGTACCTCATATCTGATGCGTTTAAATAATTTATTTCCTATGATATTAGCTCCTTGAACCCACCAGATGGTGGTGTGATCAAATGAACAGGTAGAAAAAAGAAACAACAAGATGAAAACAATCTTTTTCTACTGAGATGGAGAGACATGGTGCCCTCTGATAGCCCTTTCTGACCTCACCATGGATGAGTGAGGGTGGTAGCCCCTTTAGTGGCGGCCCAGAAAAGCTACCTCAAGACAGGGCTGCGGACAGACAACTGTAGCCTCAAGGCCCGAATTTCACTGTATATAATTCCATAATTAGAATCAGTCCAGCACATAATAATAAGAAGAGACTAACAAAGGCTACCATCTCCTGCATATATTAAGTTACTCTTCCCACACCAGACCTTTAATGTTATCTTCTTTTCCTTGCAGCCTTTACATTTCATGTAAGTATAAAATTCATTTCACCTACTGTTTGAGATCCAGCATCGCTTTTCTATGCAATAAACCTGGTCTGTTTGGATACATCAAACTGAACCGTAAAAGACATTTGACTTAATTAACACTGGCCATGTATTTTTAAGATCAAAAAGATCAGTAACCATGTTAAACCACAACGCGGCAGTGAGAAATAAGTTGTTCACACTACATCATCGACAGCTCCTGGGCAGGAGTACACAATGTCCTCCCCACCACATCATCCACAGCTCCTGGGCAGGAGT